AAAGAAGAAAAATTAAGTAGAACATTTTATTGCCTAGTTGAAAACATTGCTTGAATGCTGGTGGTTCTTTCCCTTTGACACTACACAATTTTCTAATATGTGTTAATGCTACATGACAAAACGCCCTGATTCCTAGTGCCAAAGGTTCAACTTAATGTATATACCCGAAAACCCATGCATTTGTGCTCCTTTTTTTTTTTTATGGTGCTTGAAGTAAAACAGCCCATCCTCTCTGCAAGTCCATCTATGTTGTTCCTTAGGTATTCTATCTTTGCTCAAATTGTTGAAGGATGGTGATTTGTTTCATTGTTTTTGTATTTGAGTCTAATGCACGTTCTAACATGATAGCGGCAATGCATTATTGTGTAGCCACGGTTTTCTGGAAAAGTTGATATTTTAGGAATTGTATTTCAGATCTCAAATAAAATTTGTTTCTAAATTTCAAAGCAAGTAATTTGCAGTGTGCCTTTAATGTTACTGAGGCTGACAAACTCAACAGACTCAGGAAAAATCAAGGAAAGATCGAGGTGGTATGGAAGTGGGGTTTTTTTTATTTTTCTTAACTCCATGTCCCCCCATTCACAATACAGTAGCAGGGCCTGGGCTGAGGTGCATATGGGGTGGGTTTACTCTTGCCTCTTCTTTCTATACAATCAGTGTAAGAACACACCAGGAGGCCTCATAAAGTTCTGACTTCAAGCGAAAAAATTAAAAAATTCCTTTTCCTGTTGGGTGTGGCAGCCAGGAGTATGCCCTGTCAGGCCATTTCCTGTCCTCTCCCCTCTCAGTGTGGCCTCTTAGGGTGCTGCTTGTAAGAGGCAGTTTTGTTCCTGATGTTTCTTGCCCCTATGAATCTGGCTGGAACATTTAGTGGTTTCTATAACAGACCCTTACACTTATGCAGAGCTTTGCTCTTTCCCATTAGAGGAAACGTGGGTAGCCATCTTAGGTATTACATCTATCAGAAATACATGTAGATTTTGGGGCAAGGATGGCAAACTTCCCTAGTTCCAGCGCAGATGTCACGTTCCACCTGTTAATAATTCCTTGGACATAACATTGGGAATCCTAGGGTAGAGGATCTGTGGAGGAGAGAGATGGTGTTGGATGTCTATGCTTACAAATCCATATTACATGAAAATTTCCCAGTTATTAAACCAAGTTTTTTTATGACTTTTTCACATCTTCAGCAAAAAAAAAGTATTCTGTGGTTATTGTAGAAATTTTTAGAAATACAGTAAGAACAAATATGGAAATAATCACATATAATCCTACTGAATCGTTCAGGATCCCAGCAAGAAATAAGTGGGACTCAAAATGGATGATTTGAAGAATATTTAATAAGGAATTTTTTTCTAAGTTGTCAACAGAGTGGTAGGGTCGTGGTGTGTATCAGTCAGCTCGGGTTGGCATAACAAAGTGCCATAGCATGGGTGGCTTAAACAACAAATTTATTATCTCACAGTTCTGGAGGCTGGGAAATCAGATCAAAATGGCAGAGTTAGTTTCTCTGAGGCCTCTCTCTTTGGCTTGTACATGGCCATTTCCTCTCTCTATCTTCACATGGTCTTTTTCTCTGTACCTGTGTCCTAATCTCTTGTAAGGACGCCAGTCATTGGATTAGGGCCCACCCCAGCGACCTCATTTTAACTTAATTTGTCTGTAAAGACCCTGTTTCCAAATACAGATCCATTCTTAAGTACTGGGCATTAGGATTTCAACATATGAATTTTGGGGGTATGCAGTTCAGCCCGTAAAATGGTGTTACTACCCCAAGGCAAAGCAGAGTAGGAGGAAAGGGAGGAAGAAGAGGGGGAGGGGTTACTGGAATAGTATACAACTTTGTGGAAAGGGCCACCTGACAGCAGCTATGATCTTCAGGATGCAGTCAGCTCACAGCGACCCTGAATACAGAGTAGTAGAAATGAGGGGGAATAAATACCTGACCTCCTCACTTTTCCCTTCTGTCTGCTTCTGAGTATTTCCTTTTGGCCAAACTGGAAGCCAGAGGGCAAGGAAGACCTTCGATGTTATCTATATTGGTAAGCCTGGGGGACATAGAGCTGGGAGGAAAGTGAATGGGCGGGGGGACAAATGGGAGATATCTAGCACATACATACCTGAAATAACCATAGCTAATACTTTGCCATATATTCTTAGAATTATGCATATGCACATATATTTGCAATAAAGATCACTCTTTTTTTTTTTTTTTTTTTTTTTTTTTTTTTTTTACAAAATTGGGAGCCAACTATACATATGGTTCTTTAAGTATTTTTCTCCCCAAACTGATACACAAAGGAAGTTCAAGCCTAATAAAATCAGTTTATTCTTAAATGATAATGAAAATAAAATAGAAGAAATCTGAAAAGAAAATAAAGGAGTTGCAACATAAAAATAATACTCTTTAAAACAGTTTATTTGAAGCACCAAAATAGATCAGAGAAACAGAATAGAAATACCTGTCTATGTGTGTATGTATTTATTGCATATGTTAGAGGGAACATTTGAATTAGTAGTGAAAGAATGGGATAGTCAAAAAATGGGAGAGTCAAGAAACATTTGGAGAAAATACTTGGGAGGAATGTTAGATTTATTTTGCATTATAATTTATTCAAAAGTACATCCCAAATGGATTAAAGATTTACATTTCATAAATGAAATCGTAGAATGCCTGCCTGAAATGAAGGAGATTTTGTAATCTTGGCTCAGGGATGACCTTTCTAAATATTAGATTATTGGCAGGATGCCTATGGGAAAAGTTGGATAAATTTGAATATGTGAGTATTTAACTTTATAATAGAACAACATAAAGAATGTTCTTAGGTATGCAGCACACAAGAACAGAATAATCATATACAAATATATAACATACAAAAAAGACAAACAGTGTTTTTAAAACATTTTTTTTAAATTTTACAACTTATAAGAGACTAGGGAAATAGGCCATAGATTCGAATAGGCTAATTTTAAAAAGAAGTGCAAATTGCAAGTAAAATAGGTTCATATACCCTCGACATGAACACTTAAAAATTAATGAAATATATCCTACCACTACTTTCACTCCTTCTTGGAATCAGTGCTTGGATTAGGTAAGTTATTTACCTGAACATACTTTTAGGTATCCCGTCAGTATATTTATCAAACAGTAGTAGAAATCCAGGCTGGCTGCACTATGACCATCACACCATTGTGAGATGTCTAGACTCAACATATGTCAATTATTCCTCTTCAAATTCTAGTCTGTTGGTTAAGGAGTCCACAGAGAGGGGGAGTGGCAGTAGAAGGGACCAGTGAAAAGAAGATGGGTTTTGTTGATAATTCCATGCATCCTATTGATTACTGTACCTAATTATCAGATCTCTAATTCTGGTGCTTAGAACATAGAAGTTGCTCAATAAATGTGTATTCAATGAAGACAGTACTTCTTAGATTTTGTGTCTTAGTGAATTCTTCATTTAGATAAGTAAATTCCTGGTGTTAGATGGCTTAAATGATTCAAGTTTTGCATTGGTGATTGATGGGTGACCAGATGGGCAGGCTTGGAGACCTCTCATCCTCGTGTCCTCTGCGGGATCTAGGGCCTGGCCAACTAGATGAATTCTTAAGAAGGACTCCTGTCCCATTCAGAGGAAACTTGTGAAATAGCTTATGATATTCATGAGACACTCCAAAAAAAGATGAGGATTTGTTATTGAAAATTTAAATAGGAGGCCTACTAAACATGCTTGAGCATTTAAGAAATATCACATTTTCAAATTGCCTTTACTTTTTTTTTTGGTGACTGGGCAGTATGGGATTGAAACCCTTGACCTTGGTGTTACAACACCGTGCTCTAACCAGCTGAGCTAACTGGCCAGCCTCAAATTGCCTTTAAATAAACATAAATATGACCCTCATATCCAACCTAGCATGCTGGTGGAAAGTCTCTACTTCAGTTATTTTTGGGTTTCCCCATCTCCATTAGTTGTACAACCATCCTATGGTCTTATCAAGCACCAAAGCCTGAAGAGATCCCTGCTGTCATCATCTGTCCACACTGGTTAGGGATGAGATGCTCATTTACTGAACTGGCAAGGTATCTTCAGATCCCTTGTCCTTGCTGCTTCCATCCAACCCTCTGCGTAGGGGAATCTTTGGCAAAACTATGTGCCCAGCTTCTCCAGGCCTACTACAGGGTCTTCCTTGAGTCCTGATGTGGAAATGCTCATGTCTCTGCTACTGAAAGGACCTACGAACTCTGACCTTTCTTCTATCGCTGCCCTCAAATGCCCTCCATTTCCATATAGGGACATCTGGCTTGATATCATCAATGAATGTAATCCTTTTCAAAATATAAGAAAAACCACTGGCTTCAAGCTGCTTCTACTGCCAGCTCTGCCACAAACCTCCCTCTCCTAGATTTCTGCTGTAAATGTGAGAGAAAAATATAAGGAGAACCCAACACACATGTTAATATCTCAATGACTGATAGGTTTTTTTTTGTTGTTGTTATTGTTTGTCCTTTTTGAGACCGGCCGCACCGCGCTCAGCCAGTGAGCGCACCGGCCATCCCTATATAGGATCCGAACCCGGGGCGGGAGCGCTGCTGGCTCCCAGTGCTGCACTCTCCCGAGTGCGCCACGGGCTCGGCTCTCAATGACTGATAGTTTAATATTTTCCAGGTAAAGTCATAGGTAGTTACTTTTTATTTTAGCTGATTTCTACTTATTTCAGTTTTTAAAATATGTCAGGAATATTCAGGAGAGGCCTAAAGTACGTTATTGGGCCCTAAAGTGGGCCGTCCTATTGATTTTAAAAGGCCGTCAATTATAATAAGCGGAGCCAAATTCTTACTTGAGTCTATTGATTTAGCTAGTTTAAACTACACAGATGATGTAGTTTCATCTACCCAGATGGCTAGACAGCTTCCCTTCGAAAATTGAAGGGTAGTTTTAAGAGTATATTTACCCCCATGACATTCAACACCTAGCTAACATGATGGTTCCATTAAAAATAGCTATTATAATAATTTTCTTTTTATTATCATAGGTATTGTCATCAACATAAATAATCCTGTTTTCCATTTACAGGAATGTATATGGATTGGTATGGAAGCATGTTGTGAAATAACTCACGTGCCATTCATAAAACACCTAAAAAGGAAAGAAGGTAGCCATTAGATATAGTCTTGCCTAAGGCAAATTTCTGGCGTGGAATAAATGCTCAAAAATGATAATTCTCCTTTCTCCCTTCCCAAAAGGCAAGAGTGAAGAATATATTCCTAAGATCTGTAGTTCTCAACCTGAGGTCCCCAGACTCTTAAACAGTGGGTCTTTAAAGGGTCTTTAAAGATACCATTAAGAATTGAAGAGCTCTCTTCTTTTCTCCCCTCCCCTCCCCTCCCCTTCTCTCCCCTCTCCTCCCCTTCTCTCCCCTCCCCTCCCCTCCGCTCTCCTCTTCTTTCTTCCTTTTTTCTTTCTAATTCATATATATAGATATAGATATAAATAGATAGATAGATAGATATATCAGGCAAATACTAAGCAGAAGAAGGCTGGTGTAGCAAAAATTAATGCAAAAATAGTAGTAGTATTCATCCATAGGAGCATGGCACATCACAAACACCAAGCCAAATAAACGTAGTCAATATATTGAATAAGAACTACTGGTAAGATATAGTCAAAATGAAATTTTTGCCTAATACTGTACTGTTAAAATTAAGTTTTTCCCAGGACCCCTGGCTTTGCTGTTCACTCTAAAGAACTGTACAGTCACTTTAAGTCACAAATTGAGCCTCAATCCAGTGATTAGAATTTAGAGTCCTAAATAATAAAGGGTCCCTGAATTTGATTTAGAGTTAAACCTTCTCTGTTCAGCTAGTACAAACTTCAGATGACCTCCCACCTTTGAGGGAATGGATGTGCTTGGTTTCTTCTCTTTGCCCAGCCTTCTTCCTCAGCTTGCTAATTTTGACTTCAGGTCTTCGGTTAGAGTGAAGGGAAGGAGTAGGGGGGAAGGGAGCAGAAAATTCTTTACTGGTTGCATAGTAAGTTGGCTTCATTCTCTCTGGATCTAGCTGATGTTTAAAGCTGACTCTTTCTGATCAGAGGCTCCCTTACTGCAACTCCTGTATCAAGAGTAAAACATTCTATTGCTTTTTTACCTTCAGCTCTGGGTTTTCCAGCTATCCACTCCATACAGTTTCCCTGTGGAATTCATAGCACCCCGAAACACTTATCTTTGGCAGGCCTGAGTATCAAGCCGCTTGCCCTCCTTCATGGTCAATTTCTGGTATGCAGGAAACACCCATAAATCTTTAGCCCCCAACCGATTGGAAGTACAGACGGATCACAACAGTCACCTCTCCTTTGCTCCCACCATCACCACAGCCACATCATCACCACAGCCACATTCTCTAGCCAGTAAGATTTCTCATGCTGGAGTTAAGTACTGTGCATCCAAACTCCAGGAGGTGTATATCAAGTTCCAAGGGGTCCAGTTGAACCCATGGGGTGAAGGGGGGAGCACCCCAATTCTTCCACCTTGGAAACCCATTCCAGAGAAACCTTCCTCACAAAAATTCCCACTCCATATCTCCTCTCATGACCCTTTTAATTCTCCTTGTGGGCTTTAGATTTGCTTGGTTATTTCCTTTGAAAACCTGGCTTTAATCTCATATCCATTATATTTTGATGCCTAAGAGGAAACTTATAATTTAACATCCTGTCATGCAAATTCAAACCAATCATTTCTCCAGTCCTGTAAGGTCGTCATCTGAAGTTTATAAAAAAAAAAAAAAAATTAAGGTAGAGTGGGCGAGAGTATGGGCTTTGGAGTATAACAGACTTGGATTAGAATTGAAGTTCTGCAGTTTACTAGATTTAGGGCCTTGTAATATATACTCAACCTGAGTTCTGTTTCTTCTTTGTTTAAGGGAAATACTGCTACCTACCTCACAAGATAGTTAGGAGAATTAAAGAGAGAACCAACCTAGAACACCAAACTCAGCAATCTGGCTCTTAGTGATCACTCAAGTAAATGTTAGATCCCTTCCTACTCTGCCTTGTCCCTTCTTTGAAAGTCATGCCTTTGACATACTGTTCTATAGAGTATTTGGAAATGTAACAATAAGAAGGGGAAAACACAGGTAAGATCTCCAGTGCCATTTTTGTATTCCAAAATGAGTTGTCTGATGAATACATATAGGAAAAGGAGCAGTATTGGGCCAGCCTGTGGCTCACTCGGTAGAGTGCGGTGCTGATAACACCAAGGCCACAGGTTCGGATCCCATATAGGGATGGCCGGTTCGCTCACTGGCTGAGCGTGGTGCTGACAACACCAAGTCGAGGGTTAAGATCCCCTTACCGGTCATCTTTTAAAAAAAAAAAAAAAAAGAAAAGGAGCAGTATTATAATACTGTTTTCATTTTGGGAGTTACCCACCCAATGGGTTGAAACTAGGGGACAGCAGTCATCATGCTATTTAACTGTTTCATGTGTTTTCCTGAACTTTAATTTTAGCTTCTAGGTTGAAAATCAATAAAGTGTATATACTTAGAGCTCCAGAACTTTAGAATGAAAGCTCCAGTGCCAAACTCACTAATAGCTACATTTCCTGGTAAGATCTTTTCCCCCTTCTCTGACTTTATCTATCAACGATGGTAAAAACAGCTGATATTTATTGCTTACTATGAGTTGACACTAAGTGGCCTATATAATAATTCATGTAAACCTCACAACAACCCTAAGAGGAACTGATGTGATTATCCCTATTTTACAAAAAGGGCACAGAGGCCAATAACACACAGCTAACAGTAGCTAACCTGGGATTTGAACCCAGTTAGTAACTACTCTTAACTACTCTTAGCTACTGTACTATCCTGCCTCTCTGAAAAATAGTATGGCTATGGAGAAATGTGAACTTGATATCTCATCTGTGAAAGCACCTTGACCCTGTATCATCAGTTCAGACCCTCCTAGAAGCTGATGCCAAGACAAGATTAGACATACTAGAGATTTACTGGGTAAACACCTATGATAGATAAAGGGGGGAGGAGCAAGAGAAGATGGGTAGAGCCTTCAGACTGATGCATATCTCACATCTATGAAAAAAGAGGGAAGGAAGGAACATTAAGCAGGAAGAACCTGAGACTTCAGTGGATTAATGAGAAAGTCTGCAGCAGGCCAATGAGGAGTACAAGCAACGATTAAAGGAAAGATTAAAGATTCAAGCAGAAATGGCCCAGCTCTAATAGCCCAGCTGTGCTCAGTCATGGTGTGGGGGCAGTCTGGGAAAAGCATGACCTTAGCATGAATCATGGTAGAGCCAGTGACTGTTCCATTGCAGTCATCTACATGCCTTCTGCTGACTGGGGCCTGAACATTTTGCAGGGACCCCTGAGCCTGATCCCTTCTACCCAGCCCCAACAGGAGCACTCCCACTTATGCACTGTCTCCTAAGAGCTGGGGAATCCTGGTTAGCAGAGGGCTCTCTCTCCAGGGTCCTGGACCCTCAATTCTTTCTGCTCTGGAGTTAGACAGGAAAGTTACTGTGTGGACATGTAACTGAAATACCAGCTTTCTGGGTGGAGCTGGGGAGGTGCCCAAAGAAGCAGGCTCTAAATGCTGTTGACCCTCCACCATCAATGCCTTAAAAAGCATCTCCACACCAATTCACAGCTTGACTGCCCTAGCTCCCAAGTCGTGGACTGGGCCTGAAGTTCATGGGGGCATTTAGACAGGAGGTGACTCCTCTTTTCTCCTGAGTTGTAGGACCACGTGTCTTTGCAATCTGTCTTTACCTGGGGTCTCCTGTCCTTCTGGACCTGGGCTGACTCAGACCTCATGCACTGCACCAGGCAGGCACAGAGCTAAAGTCGTCAGAGAACCATCTAAACAGGCCAGGGCACATCCTAGGCCCTTTTGGGAGTCTGAGAAAGATGAATAGGAGAGGAATGAGTGAGGTCTTATCTGCCGTCTAACCCCATTTTTGCCTAAATTGTTTTGGAGGATACTTCGCTGGACTCTGAGAGAAGGTTCTGCCTCTTCTGCTTCAACCCCAAGTTACCTGATTAGACCCAGTTCAGACATCTGCTTGCCCAAAGATTATCCCAACAGATGTTTCAGTTAGGAAGCTTTGGGGTATTACCATCTCCCCTACAAAACCTTCCCCCAAAGAGAAAGGGAACATGAGTGAAAGGCAAAGTGCTCTGACCTGCAATGGGACAGTCGTCCTCCACCAGGCATGTCTGTCTAGGACAGCCAGGCCATCAACCCAGGAGGGCCTGCTGCCTGGTGCCGGCTGGGGCACAGAAACCAGAGGCAGACCCACCCGAAATCGAAGGCAGACCCACCTGGAGAGGAGTGTGGCCCGGGTGAGCCCTTCCACATCCTGCCTGAGCATCACCTCTCTGAGTTCCAGGGGGATGGATTTATCCTGTGTTGTAAAACTGGCACGGTGAACCCCTGGAACCTTATCTCACTCCAGCGGGAATTCCCGTCTGATCAATGTCCATCAGGCTGCCACAACCTTGAAGAACTGTCTTGGAGACATGAAGAAGTCCCAAAATGGTATCACAGAGAAAACAAAAAGCAAAGGGCACATTTATTCTTGCTTTGCTTCATAGAAGCTTCATTTTCTTGTATTTTTCTTGTCAGTTTTTCTGTAGGATCATGTTTTGTTTTAGTGCTGTAGAAAGGCATTCCTCCCTTGAAGTCTTATATTTTCTTACAGTTTATTTTACTCGCTTTATACTTTACACTTTCTCTACACAAAAATCTATACTTCTAGTCCATTATCTCCGCTTGACCCTTGCTGTTAGGTGAGGCCATATGATTAGTTTTGAACAATCATCTGTGAACAGCAGTGACATGTTACTTCTAAACTAACATGTAGTGGATGAGAGATTTCCATTACTCTCTTCCCCTGCCACAGTGATCAGCGACATTCCAGATTGTGGAGCCTGTCAGCCTGAGTGCCAGAGAGGATACGGGGAGCATAGCCCCTTTAACCCTGACCTTTACCAACACGTGTTGGGCATTTATTGTGAGCTAGAAATAAACCTTTGCTATGTGAAGCCACTGCGGTTTTTTCCAAAAGGAATGGGGAGGCGGGGCAGGGGTTGTAGGAAATGCAGTTTCAGAAAGCATCTGCTACGGCATCTATCCGCCCCCACCCCGGGGTAGCTACAGGCAGTAGCCTGCAGGGATCCGGGTGCTTACCTTTCTTTCTCTATCTTTCGATCGGCACGCCCACATCCTCCGCAGTAGGAAGCTGGCACCCACTCAGGCTTCCCACTCACCAACACCCCCTCTCCGCAGCCCCCAGCGTTCCCGTTTGCCCTCCATTTTCTGAGTTAAAATGGATAGAGGGAGTTGCTTTAGTGTGGAAATTGCGGTATGTGATCCGCTGCGGTGTTCGTTTACCATTCTTGCATTCCAGAGGTTTGCAGGTTGTTCCCACCCTCACACGGCCTTGCAGGGAGCCAGGGCATTCTTCTTTCCCTCCCCCTCCTCCCTCTTTCGCTGTGCCAAAAGTAAGCTTGCTTTTGATGCAATAGGAAACTGGTACCCAAACCCGACCGCCACCCCCTTCCCATATCCCTCCCCCAAGCCCACTGGAGATTTATTTATTTTATTTATTTATTTTTTTGGCCCTAAAATAGATTGAAGTAGAGACAGGAAAATGGTGTAGACAATACAGTCCTGGACACACTGTGGTCTCCGCCTAGCCTTCGGATATCCCCATTCGAACCTCCTCAGGCTTTAGTCTCCTTCTTTTCTGTCTAGTGGCCAGAAACGCGCCAGCCTGCCTCCAAGGCAACAGGGAGATGGTGCTCAGGAGGGAAATTGGGCTCAGACTATACACTGACTTAAATTCACGTCAGACCTTTGTCCAGCAAAGCCCACAGCCCATATTAACAGTGAGCTCGAGTCCCCAATTAACCCTCCCAGCAGCACTCCGGCAGTAGCCGGGTCGCCCCTCCTCGCCCCTCACTTGACATTATTACTACTTATGTCCTTGCCAGAGACACTAAAAGTATGTCGTCTCCCTGGAATTTGTTTGCCTTTCTCCTACTATCAGGGATGATCACTCTTGGGGTTAATCGATCATGTCTCCTTTTTTTTCTCTCCTGTTCCCTAAACTCTCCACCTCCTCTCTCCCAAGACTTTAAGGTCTACCACTCCCTTGCAGTCCTGTCCAGACACTGAAATTGGGTTCAGGAAATGAGGCTGGGAGTGAGAGTGAGAGATTTTTACTGGTTCTTTTTAATATTTGTTCTGTTCCTTATGGTTATTATTATTATTATCATTACTGCTATTACTATCAGCCTACATCCTGCTTGTCATTAGAAAATAGAAAAGAGCTTTGTATTTTAATTTGGGAAGCAGGAGGTGGATTCAAGTGCGCTTGTGGGTAAGCAAATAACCCAGCCACCTGTTTTCACTGCTCAGTGATAAAACAAATATAGATCCTCCAGGCAGCCACAATCTTGGATGTTTGAAATGTACAGAGCAGCTGGAGGCTCCCCCTGTGAGCGGACCCTGTGTGTGTGTGTGTGTGTGTGTGTGTGTGTGGCTTTTCCGTGAAGAAGTCAGCCACTGAGGTCACATAACCCCACACTACAAAGTGATTTTTAGATTTTTAGATTTTAAAAGCTGGTCACAATGTTCAGGTCTTCAAAAACTTTATTAACCCAACCTCCACAATTGCTATATTTCCCAGTTTTCTATCACATGCACATTCCTATTAACTCCAATTGCAACCAAAAAGCTGTTACTTGGCTGGCTGGTTAGGTCAGATGGTTAGAGTGCCACCTAGTAACACCAAAGTCAAGCGTTCAGATCCTCATGCCAACCAGCCACAGGGCCAGAAATATACAATTTGTAGGACTCTCTTTAACGAAAATGATATTTAAAAGGTATGGGCAATGCAGGCAACTAAGTGCAAAGGTTAATATTTATTTAGAATGAGAAATCACAACAAATGCAAAATTTGAACAGCTGACATAAAAAAATTCCAATTTCCGGAAAAATGATATTTTCTTAATTAACTGCCTGGCACACCTCTATAGTGTTTATTTTACCCCCTACAATTTTTGGCTGCAAACTCTTTGATCCTCTCTTCATATGGCTTTTTTTTTTTTTGCTGGCCTGTATAGGGATCAGGACCTTTGCCCTTGGTGTTACCAGCACCACATTCTAGCTAAGTGAGCTAACCAGCCAGCCATATGGCATTTTTGTAATAACATTTTCCCTAAAGAAAATAAAAAGATAATGTAATCTTTTCTTTGGCATGGTTAATCAATTTTTTATTGTTGTTGATAAAAAATACTTTCAGCTTTTCAACTCATCATTGGCGATGGGTATGTTTTTAGTATTGTCAAACTTGAAGAAACTGCTGTCAAACTTCTGTCAAGTTTCTTTCTTACATAGGTTTAAAATTTCAGAGCATTTCAGGTTTTCTTGTGTAGATACTCATCTTAAATATTCTTAATGACACACACAAACCAGTTTGAAGCCAATGTCTTTATTGTAGTAGTGTATTTTGAGTTTGAGTAGTGTATTTTGAGTATTTTAGTCAGTGTCAGTATTTCATACTAGATGACCAAGAAATTAATATGAACCTATGTAGATGTGATTGTGGAAAGCCACAGGCATGGTTGTTGTAAGAAAAAGGCCAGAAGTCCATTTTTGATAAATCATATGGTATTTATTGGACAGGGATGGGAGCTAAGACTAAAAAATATCTTGGAATCAGGTGGGAAGTGGGAAATAGTATCAAATACTGGCAAGAGGCTTATGATAGACCACCATGCTTTCAAACTGAAGTATAAGGTTTGTTGATGGTTTGCTAAGCATATGAAAGACATGTGGGCATGAGTGTCCTGTTAGTCTCATTAGCATTAGAGTCAGACAACCCTAGTTTGAATCCTTGAACTTCCATTTACTATCCAGTGAAATCTTACTAGTAATTATTTAACTATATGTGGAAGGGACTGAGAAACACATGAATAAATTTTCCAACTAAACCCAAACTAAATGTAGTTCCAGATCGACTTCCTCTTAACTTGCTCCCCATCATACCCACACTCATCTCACCACCAACAAGAAGAGAAATCAGAGTAGAAAGAAACAGTGGTCTTACAGTGTGGTCAATATTCTTGCTTTTACTAACTTTACAAAAATATGTGAGACATACTTATGTCCCCTACATTAGTTTTCTATTGCCATGTAACAAAATACTGCAAACTTAGTGACTTAAAATAACACTGAGGTATCTGGCTCAAAGTTGGGTAAGTCAGAAGTCCAAGCATGGTGTGACTGTTTTCTCTGCTAAGGGTCTCATAGGCTGAAATGAAGGTTTCATCAGGCTGCATTCTCATCTGGAGCTTGGGGTCCTTTTCCAAGCTCACATGGTTGTGGCAGAATTCAGTTCCTTGTAGTTGTGGAAGTGAGATGTTACATTCCTCCTGGCAATCTGCCAGGGGCCACTCTCAGCTCCTAAACATCACTTAAATTCCTTGCCACATGGCCCCCTCCATCTTCGAAGCCAGCAGTGGAAAATCCCCCCTCACGTTGAATCCCTTTCATGTGTTAGAGCTCTCTAATTTAAGAAAGGGCCAGTCTCTTTAAAAGCTAGCATGATTAGGTCAGGCCCACCTAGTAATCACCCTCATAATTAACTCAGTGATTTGGGATCTTGATTATATCTGCAAAATCCTTTTTGCCAAATAATGTGATAGAATTTGGACGTGTTGTCCCCTGCCAAACTCATGTGGAAATCTGATCCCCAATGTGGCAGTGTTAGGAGCTGTTTGAGTCATGGGGGCGGATCCCTCATGAACTGATTAATGCTCTCCCTGGGGGGTGGGGATAATGAGTGAGCTTTCCGCTCTATTAGTTCCCCTGGGAGTTTGTTGTTTAAAGGTCCCTGGCACTTCCCCTCTCTCTCTCTTGCTTCCTCTCTCCTTGTGATTTGTTTGTGCCTACCAGCTGCCTGCCACTTTCAGCTATGAGTAGAAGCAGCCTGAGGCCCACAACAAATGCAGCTGTCCCAGAATTGTAAGCCAAATAAACCCTTGTTCTTTATAAATTACCCAGTCTCAGGTGTTCTGTTATAGCCACACAAAAATGGACTATTCCTAATGTAACATAATCATGGGAGTGATATCTCATCATATTCACTGGTTCCATCTAAAATCAAGTGAATGGGATTATACAAGTGTGAAGATCACTGGGGATCATGTTAGAATGTTGCCTACCACAACTCTTCCTAGAGGCCTTACTTAGATGGTGCCCATACAAATCAAGAGACTGAGGCTTAAGCTTCATTAACTTCAAGGTGAATTCACTTCTGCATTACCTGTACGCATTCAGGGTTTTTTCTTCTTCCGTACAACCATATTCTGCTAATGAGCCCTCAAACCTCACCCATACATAATCATGAATTAGTTACTGCTTAACAATTCTAACAAAAGTTACACAATGAATTGAGCAACACTGTTTTTGCGGCTAATATTTTTAGCATTT